TAGATTTATTCCTCAAGTAGGTCAAATTACTTTACTCAATGGTCGCACTTATACTCCAAGATTATTTGCTAATTGTCAAACTTGTGGCATAGTATACCTTATGAGATATGAGTGTGGTGCTTTCTATGTAGGAAAAACCAAAAGACCGTTTTTTCAGAGAGTTCGCGATCATGTAGCACTAATTTCTAAAAAGAAAATGGAAACACCTATCAGTTGACATGTGGGTTTGTACCATGGGTTTGACTTAGCTAAAATTAAGTTTTTTGCTCTGGACCATATACTCCCAATAAATGTGGAGGTGATTTTGACAAACCCCTTTTACAACATGAAATGAAGTGGATATATATGCTATCTGAAACAAATTTCCTGGACTAAATGAGTCCATTAGTAACAAGCCCTTCTTATAGATAAAGGGCCTCGATGCTGCTCTGGTGCAAGTGCTATGGATTGGTTCCTGAAAAGTCTCAACTGGATCTTGTAAATAACAAATATGAATCTTTTTTGATTGTGAATTATATATTGACTTGTTTCAACACAGCTCATGACTAGGTTAATAGTGTTTTTTTATGTGCGTTTACTTGAGAGGTTGTTCCAATTTTTTACTAGGTGTAGGTGTTGCAGATACCAAATTGACTCGGGCATATATCAAATTGCAATGTCCTAAATCAATGCAGATTTTTTTTTCTGCTGATATGCTCTTCTCTATATTTATTGATGTCCTATTTGTTAACCTCCCTAACGGTATTCCCGAGTGTAGCTCGGGGTAAAATGTCAGTGACAAAAGCGGTAACCCCGAGCTACACTCGGGCTTACCATGCGGCGCTGCATAGGGAGTCCCTGCAGCACTTACCTTGTCCTTCGCTCCCGCGATGTGTCCCCTGCAGCATCCCTGGCCATCTCCTCCGGCTGATGCCGGCATCCGGCTCCTGTGTTCCGGTCCCTGTGACGTCGGGACATGCGGGTGCCAGCGGCAAATTTGAAAATTTTAAAAAAAAAGTCATTTTTTTCAAAACGATTTTACATAGTAAAACATTGCTGTTTCAACCCATTTCACATACATTTTGTCCCTAGTGCTTTGTCCTGTCCCTTGTCTGCATTTTGATTGTTCTTTCTGCCTGGAAACTTAGAAAAGTCCATGGCATCCAAAAAGTGTCCCTTTAGGTCAAAAGCGGTTTAGACCACCTAGAGAACAGCGATAGTAAATCAGAACCACTTGCAGAATTGAGTGATAATGATTCGTGGGGAAATTCATCATCAGACACTGAAAACAATTTTGCGACTTTGCTCAGCGATGTGCGAACTTGGCGCTATATTTCAAATTTCATACTCGGGATGTTTAATAGACTCTTGTTCGGACAGATTTCAGTGAGTTATTCCTAAATATTACAGCCTACAATAAAAAAACTACATATTTCCATGCAAAATAATGGTACCGCTTTCAGCACCAAAAATCTAAAATAATCATACCGCTAGGGAGGTTAATAGGGATTATTATAGAGTCCTTGACTGACAATCGGGCTATCCAGGAGAGGGGTGCTCTGTGTCCCCTTATGGGGTAGCATTCTCTAGTGGGTCTGTCTGCCACAAGGTTCCAACTTCCAGCCTTTTGGTTAGCTTAGGGAAACCTTACTTGGACTCTATGTGCTGTTTGGGCAAGAATGGATATTCCAAGATTGCTCCATGGTGCTCCTGCATATGTGTGGGATGTCACTTCCGGCAGGCTTGTGAACATGTGCGGGCCCAATTTGGGCATCCGCACCTAGCCGGTAATTATTGGCAGGGTGGGGGGATATATAAGCCAGCTTTTGCTGGCTGTATAGCTGTTACACCCAGCCATTCTGTGAACTCGCATGGTGTGAAAGAAAAGCTTAGGATGGTTAATTTTGTTCTGTCATGTTTAGTTGAATACTTATATTTATTTCTTTTTTTTCTGTCTTTAATTTGAAGGTCTCTATGACTGTTTGGTGGGGTTTCTCTTGCATCCTTAAAAGTAGTTTGTTGCTGACTTTTATTGCTGGATTCCCTGAGGTGAATAGGGGGTTTTGGGGTTTTTGTGGTAGGTGTTGGAAATTTTACCAAGTTGGATATGGGGATATATATGTATGTGTATGTACATATATATATATATATATATACACATATACTGTATGTGTGTATCCAATTTATTTATTTAGCTGTATTGAGATGTCGATAGAAGTGGATGCTTTTTTCTGGGTTTTCCATATATCAAGACACACTTGGTAAGAACTGCTGCCTTGGCGGGTTAACCCCATAAAAACCTACATTTAATAGACATTGATTTTGTATGTATTGTAGGGATGATTCTGTTACTATTTTTTGTACTTAAGTAAAGTCAAAATTGTTTATTGTTTGTATTTTAGTTTTCTAGTGGCAATTACATGCAACTGCCTATAAATCTCCTGCAGAAGCCAAAAATTTGGTGAAACATGTCGGTGTTGGAATTGTTGCATTGTGAACTTCAAGCCATATGAAGTATCATGTTGGTTTTATCTTTTTCAAAACTACTAATGTGATGTAGTTTTTTTCTATGTTTATATGGAATAAAGCTTTGTATTGATTTTAGTACACACTAAGTGTGAAATTTGTTGAGCACCTAAAAAATCCCCTTTCTTCTCATATAATGCTGGATATTCACAATATTGGATGTGGTGCTAGCTGATCTTCAGCCCACCTGAAATAAACATAGAATGTGGTGATTGGTGTTGAAATATATTAATGATAGCTAATAATTTATATAAATAATACTAATATGAAAATGGGAGTGCAGAGATGTGTGTGAAACACAAAGTCCTCAAAATTAATATACAAAATGAATTTTTAGTCAGAAACCTTGATTCTTTTCCAGAGAGAGTAGCGTTTATTGGATCCAGGTCACAGATGACAAGCCCAACTGGGTATATGCAAAATAATAGGATAATCAGAAGCCTCAGAGTCCCCAGTTGCTCTGCCATATCCTTGCAAGCATGTGGACGCTCCACCCATGCAGCATATATGTCTGATCTATATGAGCACCTAGGTGGCTTTCATGCACTTTCATCTCACCAAACAAATCTTCCCCTATAATATACAATTAATACCAGTGACTAATGATTGGAGGAATTGCACATTCAATCTTTATACACTGGATTCATTTGATTATTTGTATTAAGGCGGACTTTATAAATGGACTATATATATAACTTATGTGATAACTGGTTATTTAGTGCTGCTTATTTTTTTGTTCAGCACTTGTTAATTGGTATCACAATTGTTATATGTTTTTGACCGAGCGCAGATTTTAATTTGAATACCAGTGAATAAAGCTAGAGGGGTTTCTGAATGGCTAACCATAAAGTTTTAATCTTGTTGTGAAAACATGATGAAAAGACCCTACTTGCAGTTACTAAAAACAACAAAGGATAAGTTCACCTTTTTCTAAAAAAATTATAAATGCAGGTAAAAAAATGTGCAGTTTTTTTCTGTTGCAGGAACCATTACAGGTCTCCTGAAAACCTATCAGTATATCTGCTTGCCTGTACGGTATCTACGGCAAGCAGATATACTGACAGGAAGAATCAATGACCTATCACAGTGCTCCACAGCACCATCGTAGCTCATTGAGAACTACAATCTGAGCAGACAGCCGCTAAGGCTGTCAGGACTTGAAGTTTCTCATTCACAGAAGACTGTGAATGATTGACGTGGCCACAGCCCCATTCGGACACTTTTTTTAAAATTTTTACAGCTAGCGGAAGGAGAAGATCCCTCACTAGCTGTCAATGTGGGGGAGCGGGGGCCGATCTATTCAGGCCAGCTGTAGTTTGTATAACCCTTGTTCAAAATAGAATTACAGATGAAAAGTCTGCCAGTTCTGTGCTACGTCATGAGATATCTAAAAGAATCCAGCGCTAAAAGCCTATGTGTTTAGATCACCATGGAGATAAACCCCAAAAACATTTCAAGGATAGGCCACAGCTGCTACAGATAAAACCACTAGGAGAGTGGAAAACCAGGCTTAAAAACAATAATTATCCACAAGCGCTCAGGACTCCCAAGACTGTCAATTGTCCACTATAAAAGTCTGTGCCTTGGATAATATTAAAGAGCAGCAGACACATCAGCTTAAACAATGAATATAAAAGTGTATTAAACTCCAACAAAGCCATGAGAGGCTTAAACAAGGATAAAAGATATTCAGAAGCCCCACAACCGTGTGAGACCAATACCTGCCCTTACATGACCGTGGTGATATTGTTGGTGATATTGTAAAGGCTTGTATCATGGAAAGATACTCTGTAATGGCTATGCCCAATGGAAATTGCCAATCTGTCCGGACCGGGACCATGGTGAATGGATTGAAAGGTCAAACAACCTCTTTTCTGGTAAAAACAACTGAGATCTTCCAATGCCAGAAATAGTTTGTTTGACCTGTCAATCCATTCACCATGTTGTTCCAGCTTCACTGACAGAGAGGATAACGTACACCATCACACAGTTCTTCATTTGCTCATCTGAGTACATGGTGTACATATTGCATTGTCCTTGCAACCTGCAGTATGTTGGTCGAACCAAACAGACATTACATAAACAGTTTGGGGAACAACATAGACTTAGATGGATGTGGTGAGCACAGTGTTCCCCGTCATTTCTTACACTTTCAGAATAAATATTTTAGGTGTCTGGAAGTCTTGGAAATCAAATGTATTTCATCCGAATCCCTTACCTTGAATGAAAGGTACTCCCTCCTATGTAGGAGGAAAACTTTCTGGATTTACAAATTGGGCATGTTGGCCCCCAATGGCATGATGATGACCTTGAGATACAAAGCATAATATGATGTTCTCAGTCAAAGGGTAAAAATATGAAAGTGAACAGCTTAAAAACTTTTTTCTCTTGATGGTCTCTTTTATATACTGTATAGTATGTAATAGTATCATTACCTATTTAATTTATCGCTCCATAAGACGCACTCCCCCCCCCCCACAAAAAAAATGGGGGAAAATGTCTGTGCATCTTATGGAGTGAGTATGGAGCGGCTGGCCCGATATGCTTGCCAAATTCAGTTACCTTCTCCCCTCTTCCGCTCCCCAAAGGTCTGCTGTCTCTGGTTATCTCCTGTACAATGTCTGCAGTCTCTGGTCATCTCCTCTTGTACTATGTCTGCAGTCTCTGGTCATCTCCTGTAGTACTGTATGTCTGCAGTCTCTGGTCATCTCCTGTACTATGTCCGCAGTCTCTGGTCACCTCCTGTAGTATATATGTCCGCAGTCTCTGGTCATCTCCTGTACTATGTCCGTCCGCAGTACTATGGTCATCATCTCCTGTACTATGTCTGCAGTCTCTGGTCATCTCCTGTACTATAATCAAGAAAACAAAAGATAAGTGTGCGCTTATGTGATACTGTATAATAGGTAGCGGTTGTACACCAGAAAAGGCACCGTATCAAACCTTCAATAACATATATGTGAAAAGTGAGGGAGGTGCAGCGCTATATATCCAGACAAATGATAAATGATTACACAATAATAAATGGTGACTGTAAGTTAGTAATGCCACTGAATGGTGGCTATAAAGTGAAGAGAGTGAAAACAGTCCAATGAAGGGGTGCTCTTAAGATCCAGGGTGATCTTCAGACGTCCAATATACAGGACCATCAGGTGATAAAATATAAAGACTGCGCACTCACCAGATACGCAATCTTTATGCGCATTTGTGTGAAATATCACTAGACCTCCTGTGTCATCATCCTGGTCTGGTCAGATCTGGTCAGCATATCCCTCATGGCCTGGTACCTGGATGGATGCAGCTGTTCTGTAGATTTGGCCGGTTCCCACCAGAACTCAAATAAATAGAAAGGGCCACATAGTGTAATATCCTATTTTTTAAATCCACTCCAGTCACGTGATCCTGCAGCTCCAGCTCCCCTGTCTCAGTGACTGCCTGCCTTCTCTCCTGCAGCAGGCAGTCACAATATTTTTGACCTTTTACTATTACACATGTCCAGTAAAAAAATTTTAAAAATCTAATTTCATCATAAATTTAGGCCAAAATGTATTCTGTTACATGTCTTTGCTAAAAACAAAATTCCAATAAACGTGTAAATTAATTGGTGAGCGAATCGAAGTATCCGAAGTGGAATTCGAGTCGAATATTGGAAAAATTTCGATTCGTGCCGAATCCGAAAAATAGCCTAATTCGGACGCGCGAATCGAAATTTTTCAGAAAATGGCGGCTGACATGTGCGGCGACGGAGCGGGGATGTCTGGGAAGGCGCGCAGACAAGGCGCGCTGACCCATAATGCATTCCTCAACTACATGTGATCGCATCAGCCTATCAGCAGCAGCCAGCCAGCCAGCACTGTGTAATGGTCGAGCTATAAATAGCGGCCATTTTGGAATTCTTCATTTGCCTGCAGTTATTGAACAGAGGCAGACCGCTCTGTACTAGGGACAGGGACAGAGTTAGGGCCACAGAAACGATAATTGGGGACAGAGAAAAGTTACTTAGGGACAGAGAACCATTACTCAGGGACACAGACTTGTTAATGAGGGCCACAGAATCGTTATTTAGGGACAAAGAAACGCTAGTTAGGGCCACAGAATTCATAATCAGGGACAGACAGAATTGTTACTCAGTGCCAGAGAATTGTTACTTAGGGCCACAGAAACGTTATTAGGGCCACAGAATTGTTACTCAGGGACAGACAGAATTGTTACTGAGTGCCAGAGAATTGTTACTCAGGGACAGACAGAATTGTTACTGAGTGCCAGAGAATTGTTACTTAGGGCCACAGAAAACTTTAATTAGGGCCACAGAATTTTTACTCAGGGACAGACAGAATTGTTACTCAGTGCCAGAGAATTGTTACTCAGGGACAGACAGAATTGTTACTGAGTGCCAGAGAATTGTTACTCAGGGCCACAGAAACTTTACTTAGGGCCACAGAAATTTTTTACTCACGGGGGACAGACAGACATTGTTACTGAGTGCCAGAGAATTGTTACTCAGGGACAGACAGAATTGTTACTGAGACAGAATTCAAAGGGAGGGCCACAGACAGAAACTTGCCACAGAACTTAGGGCCACAGAAACTTTACTCAGGCCACAGAATTGTTACTCGCACAGACACAGAATTGTTACTCGCAAGACACAGAATTGTTACTGAGGGCCACAGAGAACTGTTACTTAGGGCCACAGAATTGTTACTCGCACAGACACCCTCTTGTTACTGGACACAGAACTGTTAAGGGCACAGAACTGTTACTTAGCAGCCACAGAATTTTACTCATGGGACAGACACAGAACCTATTGTTAGGGCCACAGACTTGTTACAGGGACAGACAGAATTGTTACTGAGTGCCAGAGAATTGTTACTCAGGGACAGACAGAATTGTTACTGAGTGCCAGAGAATTGTTACTTAGGGCCACAGAAACTTTAATTAGGGCCACAGAATTTTTACTCAGGGACAGACAGAATTGTTACTGAGTGCCAGAGAATTGTTACTCAGGGACAGACAGAATTGTTACTGAGTGCCAGAGAATTGTTACTCAGGGCCACAGAAACTTTACTTAGGGCCACAGAATTTTTTACTCAGGGACAGACAGAATTGTTACTGAGTGCCAGAGAATTGTTACTCAGGGACAGACAGAATTGTTACTGAGTGCCAGAGAATTGTTACTTAGGGCCACAGAAACTTTACTTAGGGCCACAGAATTGTTACTCGCACAGACACAGAATTGTTACTCGCACAGACACAGAATTGTTACTGAAGGCCACAGAACTGTTACTTAGGGCCACAGAATTGTTACTCGCACAGACACAGAATTGTTACTCGCACAGACACAGAACTGTTACTGAGGGCCACAGAACTGTTACTTAGGGCCACAGAATTGTTACTCGCACAGACACAGAATTGTTACTCAGGGCCACAGAAACTGTTACTTAGGGACAGAAGAAACGTTAGTTAGGGCAGTGCCACAGAATTGTTACTCAGGGACAGACAGAATTGTACGGAGTGCCAGAGAATTGTTACTTAGGGCCACAGAAACTTTACTTAGGGCCACAGAATTTTTACTCAGGGACAGACAGAATTGTTACTGAGTGCCAGAGAATTGTTACTCAGGGACAGACAGAATTGTTACGGAGTGCCAGAGAATTGTTACTCAGGGCCACAGAAACTTTACTTAGGCCACAGAATTTTTACTCAGGGACAGACAGAATTGTTACTGAGTGCCAGAGAATTGTTACTCAGGGACAGACAGAATTGTTACGGAGTGCCAGAGAATTGTTACTTAGGCCACAGAAATTGTTACTTAGGGCCACAGAATTGTTACTCAGACACAGAATTGTTACAGACACAGAACTGTTACTGAGGGCCACAGAATTTTTACTTAGGGCACAGAAAGCTAGTTAGAGTGCCAGAGAATTGTTACTCAGGGACAGACACAGAATTGTTACTGAGTGCCAGAGAATTGTTACTCAGGGCCACAGAAACTTTACTTAGGGCCACAGAATTTTTACTCAGGGACAGACAGAATTGTTACTGAGTGCCAGAGAATTGTTACTCAGGGACAGACAGAATTGTTACTGAGTGCCAGAGAATTGTTACTCAGGGACAGACAGAATTGTTACTGAGTGCCAGAGAATTGTTACTTAGGGCCACAGAAACTTTAATTAGGGCCACAGAATTTTTACTCAGGGACAGACAGAATTGTTACTGAGTGCCAGAGAATTGTTACTCAGGGACAGACAGAATTGTTACTCGAGTGCCAGAGAATTGTTACTCAGGGAGACAGCCAGAGAATTGTTACTTAGGGCCACAGAATTTTACTTAGGGCCACAGAAGAATTGTTACTGAGTGCCAGAGAATTGTTACTCAGGGACAGACAGAATTGTTACTGACAGAAATTGTTACTTAGAGGGCCACAGAATTGTTACTCAGGGGGACAGACAGAATTGTTACTGAGTGCCAGAGAATTGTTACTCAGGGACAGACAGAATTGTTACTGAGTGCCAGAGAATTGTTACTTAGGGCCACAGAAACTTTAATTAGGGCCACAGAATTTTTACTCAGGGACAGACAGAATTGTTACTGAGTGCCAGAGAATTGTTACTCAGGGACAGACAGAATTGTTACTGAGTGCCAGAGAATTGTTACTTCAGGGCCACAGAAACTTTAATTAGGGCCACAGAATTTTTACTCAGGGACAGACAGAATTGTTACTGAGTGCCAGAGAATTGTTACTCAGGGACAGACAGAATTGTTACTGAGTGCCAGAGAATTGTTACTCAGGGACAGACAGAATTGTTACTGAGTGCCAGAGAATTGTTACTTAGGGCCACAGAAACTTTATTAGGGCCACAGAATTTTTACTCAGGGACAGACAGAATTGTTACTGAGTGCCAGAGAATTGTTACTCAGGGACAGACAGAATTGTTACTGAGTGCCAGAGAATTGTTACTCAGGGCCACAGAAACTTTACTTAGGGCCACAGAATTTTTACTCAGGGACAGACAGGTTACAGACAGAATTGTTACTCAGGGACAGACAGTGCCAGAGAATTGTTACTCAGGGACAGACAGAATTGTTACTAGGAGTGCCAGAGAATTGTTACTCAGGGACAGACAGAATTGTTACTGAGTGCCAGAGAATTGTTACTTAGGGCCACAGAAATTTTAATTAGGGCCACAGAATTTTTTACTCAGGGACAGACAGAATTGTTACTGAGTGCCAGAGAATTGTTACTCAGGGACAGACAGAATTGTTACGAGTGCCAGAGAATTGTTACTCAGGGACAGACAGAATTGTTACTGAGTGCCAGAGAATTGTTACTCAGGGCCACAGACAGGGACAGAATTTTACTTGAGGCCACAGAATTGTTACTCAGGGGGACAGACAGAATTGTTACTGAGTGCCAGAGAATTTTTACTCAGGGACAGACAGAATTGTTACTGAGTGCCAGAGAATTGTTACTCAGGGACAGACAGAATTGTTACTGAGTGCCAGAGAATTGTTACTTAGGGCCACAGAAACTTTAATTAGGGCCACAGAATTTTTACTCAGGGACAGACAGAATTGTTACTGAGTGCCAGAGAATTGTTACTCAGGGACAGACAGAATTGTTACGGAGTGCCAGAGAATTGTTACTCAGGGACAGACAGAATTGTTACTGAGTGCCAGAGAATTGTTACTTAGGGCCACAGAAACTTTAATTAGGGCCACAGAATTTTTACTCAGGGACAGACAGAATTGTTACTGAGTGCCAGAGAATTGTTACTCAGGGGACACACAGAATTGTTACAGGGGACAGACAGAATTGAGTGCCAGAGAATTGTTACTCAGGGACAGACAGAATTG